GGTTCTAGGTTTTAGGAAAGATTCTACAGAGATAGGGTGCCCTTCTCATTCACATCATAGCAAGCTATCACAAATGATGTCCATATGACATCACTGGTGACCTTGACCTGCATCACTGAGTTAAGGGAGTGTATGCCAGAATTCCACTGAAAAGTTTTATTATTTATTTTCCATAATTTATTTTTGGGAATGTTCCACTAAGTTCTCTGGGAAACTTTAATTTTGTTTTTAGCTGAACTGGGGATCAAAATCTGGGAACCTTTAATCCAAAACCAGTAGAGGCCTTAATTAATGGAGGAGTCCTAGGTCACTATGCAGGTCATGGAGGAAGCCTGTTTACAAGGTAGAAAAGTAAAGCTGACAGAGAGAGAGATGTTGATGAGAAATGGGCAGAATCACTTTAGCATTTCTACTTCTTGATGCTCAGAGAAGGCTCATGCCTCTTGGAAGTTGGACTTTATACTATGATTGTGCCAGAAAATCTCCCTTTTCATCTAAACCACCTTATTAGAGTTCTACACATATAACCAAAAAAATATGCTAAATACATCCTTGGACTGCTAGGAGAATGAAGCAGAATGCAAAGGGAGAATCTACCTAACAGCCAGATACAGACACATAGCAAGCAATGTTCAATGTTGTCATCCATTTGTGCAGATTTGTAGTTGAATCTCTTATATTCACCAGCATTGGGAAAATAAATTAATGGTGATGAATTTCTTGATAATCCTTGAGAATTTGAGACTGTACCTAAAAAATATTTGTTATTGTAGCATTGGATTCAAAGAGGAGGAAAAAGAGCTAGCTGCAGCTTTATCAAGTCCTTGTTGCTTGCTCAATAACTAAGGCATGTTTGCATTAGATTTAGAGGCAAGAAAAGAGCAGCCTGATATTTGAACTACATGATTATGCACATTCTTCTTCCCTGAGGAAAGGACTCAAAGCTAAGTCTTTTAGTCAAGAAGTAACTTTGATTCACAAATTCTATGAGCATACTTAATGTCCCATGACTATTACCTGGAGCGGTTTTAGCCTTAAAGTACACCCAGGGGTGGGGGGGATATGAACATTTATTTCTTTATTATATATCATGAGATAATCTGTTGTGACACTTATCTATAGTCATAAAATGAAAGAATAATTTTGGCATAAGTGATTTTGAATCACTCCCATGTAATTCTTCATATTTAATGTTTTCATGATGAAGAAATAACTATCAAGAACAGGAGAACTTTTAACAGATTGTTACTGAAGCTGTCTTGATGTTTCCTTTTGTCTTAACTCATTTATGAAAAATTTCACAAACTGATTATGATATTCTAAAAGCAAATAGGGTATGAAAGATGCAACAGAAAGGTAAACCAGTGTCCAGTGCCTAAAAAGCGTGCCTCCATCTAACAGAGTATGCTTAGACTCTGTGCATAAATATTTGGCAATGTCGGATAGGCCGTACTTAAGGAATTCAAAATTAAATAATTTTAGTAACAAATAATGTGTTTACTCCAGAAGTCCTCTTGTTTCATATCTATATATTAATATCTAAATATTACTCTATTATAATTCATGAATGCTTTCATCAGTGTCTATTAAATCCTGGAGATCAAAATATACACAAATACAAATTTGCCATAGGGCCAAATTCTCCAAGAATTTGCAGTCCATCAGGGAAAAGAACGTAATTATATTGCTAACTAACATAAAAGAGAAAGTGGAGTAAAAGAGAGGCAAAGAGCTAGAGGGACAAAATGAAAAAAAAATAACTAGAAAAAAAAGAGAAATAATCAGAGATGTGTGCTAAGGAGGTGTGATGTGACAGGAGTTGAGGGAAGACTTTCTATAAGACAATGTGCAGGAAGCCACCAAGGAAGAAGGTCAAAGAAACAAGTGTGGATGTTATGGTTTTAATGTAATTCCGGAATGCATTTTAAATGAAGTGATTCATGGATTGCCTTCATTTATTCATGAACAAATATTAAAGGGTGTAGGAAGTAAATTACATAGGACTCAAGAATAACAGAAAAGTAAAGATAGCCAATTTTTCAATTAATTCCAACAATGATCCAGTTGAAACAGTACAGTAGCTGAAAGGAGAGCAGCATTTCCCCATCTGCTCAGGTTTGGAATTGGAAGGAAAAAAGCCCACTTTTTATAATCAGTTTACATAATGTTCAGTATTTAAACCAAAAAAAAAAAAAAGAATAGGCTTTAATAGTATGGAAAATATCCTTTTCCTGTACAGATTGTGAACTGGGAAGCCTCAGCTGTCTATGTGGCTCATTAGATAGCTTTAATGAGTGGCACCACCTCGAACATAACAGGGCCCCTGAAAGAAAGATCAAAAGACTACGAAGAGGGGATGTCACCCTTAGGCAGGCAAATCAAAGCATCTCTGCCTAAAAAGAGGGGAAAGAATCCCTTCAAAGTGGTATTTTTCTTTTGCTCATTTCTGAATAACTCACACCAACAGCTGTTCTAGCAGGCTTGCTGTCCTTTTTTTTGTCCATGTGGGAAAAGGCCACTCTGTGAATGTAGCACGTATCTATGATTTCTATCTTGCAAGCATCCCCTATTCCTCCTTCTGCTCACTGGATGTTTTCCTTTGGAGAATCTTTCTTTCCCCTAGGAGGATGTACAAGATAATGTGTGAGTCTGAACAGCCAATCAGAGTTCTTCACAGACTGATCTGCTCACCAGAGCAAAAGGCCTTTGAATGCAAACTTTGTCATCTTTGTAGGCCTGGAGCTGCACTGTGGTCATACTCTGAGAAGGAAGCCAATATAGAAAATAATGCTGAGTGCAAGTGGGAGAGAATTGTATTCTTACTGACATTGTGGAGCTGGGATCAGCCCTTCCAACTTTTGCACCTGTGACTTATATAAACCTATAGATACATTTTCTTTGCCTTAGTTACACAGTTGAGTTTCGGTCACTTGACATTGAATTTTAAATGCAATATGTTTTGGAACTATGCACTAATTTTGCACTAAGGTAGCAAAGTGAAAAATCTTTAAAAATGTGTCATGTCTGGTGACTATATATAATGTGCATGCAGTAGCATAAGATGTTCAGAGGAACACATCTTAAGGTTAATTACTGAGAAAGAATGAAACTAGAAATGAACATAAAATTTATTTTTTATCTTCTTTCACTGCTGGCAGAAAGTAATGAACAAGTTGTATGGATACTCCATGGAAATTCCATTTTGACTTTCCCAATGAATCTCTCATGAAAAATTAGGAAAATAGTGTCTTCATAAAGTGATGGAGATGACACCTGTAGCCTCAGTTTAAAAAAAAAAAAAAAAAAAAACTTTGATAGTTAATTTTTCTGACTGGACATGACAATAAATTTTAAGTAGGGATGGAAGGAGACAATTTAGAAGAAAAGACATCTTGACCAAATAGATCCATACAAATATGGTTCTTTGAAAAAAACACATATTACTTTCCTTGCATTAGCAAAACTTCACTAATTCTCAAAAATAGCCAAAGAATGTATCTTCATCAGTCTGGACTGGGGTGTATTTGTAAACCGCATTCCCAGTCCATACACTCCTCTTAGAAGACTTTTAGTAAACTGAGTGAATGAAACAGTCACTTTCAAAAGAACACACAACATCTAAGCTGTGGATGCTTATAAAGAAGCTGAGGGGTATAATAGAGAACAAAATTCATAATCAGTTTTTATTAATTATTGCATTGCAATGAGAATAGTTACCAAATTTCCTGAGTCTTAGCGCAGGTAAAACGTTGATTCAGGGGGACAGAATATGTCTTAACCAGAATTTTCTAATTTGGGAGGCCCTGAGTTCAACATAGTATTATTTTAGGCAATAGATGACTGTGTAAACTTCAATGCTTTTCCAGGTCAAAAGGAAATAATAATTTTTCTCATGGGGTGGTTGTAAAGGGTGAAAGATGTAAGATTGGAATTTGACCCAGGAAGCATTCACAACTCCCACTTTAAAGAAGGCAATTTAAAAAATACAATGAGTATGAATTAAAATAGACTACAGTGAAAATTAATAGTAGGAAATAGCCAATTTTCAGGTCAGTAGATTTGGAGAGGCCTTTAGGCTGAGAGTGTTTGGTGGATGCTCAGAAAAGCAGGGGTGCATCCGGACATATATTTCTTAGGGTTACAGAAAACCCAGGTTCTAGCTCAGCTGTCAGAATCTACAGATCTCCAGCTCTCCTTCCTTTTCTACTTACAATGTAAAGCCTGGCCAGAAAGGGCTGTAGCCCTGGCAGAATGTGGGGGATGTCAATTACAACTCAGGGAACAGGGACAAAAACATCTCCAAGGACAGGGAGGGTGTCAACCAATTATGTAAAATTCTGCGGAATGAGGTGTCGCAAACACCTTAAGAATTCTGAATTTTTGAAGCTTTCTCCATAACGCCTTTCAGCCTGACTCACGCCAGCCCAAGGTCCCCTGTGTCAGGGTTGGTTTCCCTGTGCCTTTCCTCCTTTTTCCTTCCAACCAAACCAAGCTTCGAAAAACTTTTATTTTTTCTTCCACAAGTCTATAACGGAGAAGCTTCTTCATCATTTCAACCCTACTTTCTTCCATTTCTTTGGCGAAACCCTGAAATGAAGGCTACCCCGCAGGCAGGGGTCCTGAAATCCGGCCACCTAGAATTTGGTTCGGGCGAACCCCGCAAGTGCCTAATGGGGAGATTCCCTATCCTCCCCGGGGCGGTTCCAGTGTGGGCAGGAACCCAGCAGGGTGCGAGCTCCGGCCCTGCCGGCGAGGCAAGCGCAGAAGCCCGAGCCCCAGGCAGAGAGGACGTGCGCGGCACGGGGGTGAGCTGTCAGTCGGGTGGCTTCCTTCCGCAGGAGCTATTTTTAGCAGTGCGTCGCCCCCCTCTTTCTCCGTCTTCCGCTTGGTAGCCTCCAGCTCGCGGCAGCCGCTCCATCGCTCCTTTCCGTCTCCCCCACCTCTGCTGCCTCTTGGTAGCGTCCACGCGGGCAGGTCTAGAAACTGAGCATGTCTGGAAGCGCTCGGAGGCCCCGGCGGCGGCGGGGGCAGAGCCCAGCTGCGTCAGGCTGAGCCCATTCACCGAGCAACCGCAGGAGCGCAGCGCCAGCGCCGCGCCGCCCGGCCCCGCCGAGAGGGGCGCACTCGCCGCCGCGGGCCCGGCTGCCGCTCACCGCAGCCCCCTCCTGGCGACCCGCAAGTAAGTTTGTGAGGCTGCTGGGCGGTGGGGCAAGGGTTTGGCGCCCGGGGAAGACAGGCTGGCTAGTGGGAGGCGCGGCTGGAGACTCGGGAGAGCCGGCCGGCTTCTACCCTCTTGCTCAGTGCCTCTCTGAGCCGCTTGGCCAGTTTTTAAACGGCTTGTCACTGGGATGCTGAGAAAGGGCGACGGGCAAAGCAGGAGGGTAGAACTGACTCTGGCGGGAGCCAAGGGGTGGACTTGGGAAAAGGAACCAGAAGTGGGCTGGTGCGGGATAAGGAGGCTAGGTGTGGGGTGCAGGAACATGGCTAGGGAATGCTGCAGAGAGAAAGTGGGGTGTCCACCACGGGTAGGGTGAGAGCGCAGTGCTGGGGGCAAAGTAGAGGGTGAGTATGTCCGTAACTAGGGTGGCTGGAGGGAAGATTGATGGAAAGTGGGGCGCGCGGAAAGCGGATTTGATGGCAGCAGAGGACGCCGGTGCAGAGGATAGTGGGCTTTGGATGAGCGGGTGGACTCGAATAATTTGGGGGATCGAAACAAGGTAAGGGAGCTATTATGATGGAGAGAGGCAACCTTGAATCAATCCTATGGATGGAGTGCGCGAGACTAGGTGTAGAGAACCACCAGCTGGATGCTTAAAGTCGCCTGGAAGGGCCGGCTGGAAAATCGTTGAGGGATTTGAGTGAAGGGGAGGAGCAGAGCTGTGCAGGGATCGGGCAGAAGAACCGGGCTGCTGATGGAACCGAAAGGCTCAGGAAAGGGCCAGAGGCTACCATGCATGTCCTTGAATAGTGATCTAGGAGCGGTTCTTTGAGATTCACTTGCAGTCCAGGGTCCTCCTTCATCTCTTACCTGGCTTGGGCGCACCTTGGCACCTTGGAGGAGAGAGTGTAAATTTGGTCAGAGATCAGGCTGTAGAAACGGTAGTCATTTAAGGAGCGCTTCAGAGGCTTTTCTTAGGTGGACCCCAGCACCTTCCGTGCAATGTGGGTCTGAATGTGTTTCACGGAGCAGGAGTGGTGTTTGTTCTAGGCCATAGGAATCTGTAGTCTCCCCTGAAGGTGCGGTGTTTTGGGCAGGGAAGTCAAGCAGAAGTCTGCAGCGTGCAACTCTCGGTGTGGTGTGAATGTGCGTGTGCGCGCGCGGTGTGAATGTACGTGTTGCCCGCCTGGGGTCGCGTATGTTGCTGCAGTCTGTCTCCATGACAAGGAGATCCTGGACTCCACGGGAGGCACGGGGAGGGGATTAAAAGAAACGTGCTTCCCTACGTGTCTTCTGCCTCCTTTCCCCAGGGTCACATTCTTTGCTCATCCAATGATGTTCCTCTCTAACCTCTTCCCGAACCCCCTTACATCCCAAACCTGATGGCCCTCATCACTGAAATGGCACTCCAAGGATGCGGCAGTCCTGAATTACTAACACTAAAGACTCTGTGGGTGTGGGAGGGAATCCTAGAAGTCCCAGCCGTCAGAGTGGCTCAGGAACCCACCGGTCCTTCCCTGAGGCGTCACTCCCAGGGTCCGCGGTTCCCTCTGTGCGCCTGCAGGTGACGCGGTGACGTTGCCAGAGGACCGGGAAGTGGGTGTCTCCAAATGGCCTGAGGGGCGGAGAAATGGGGGCAATGACCACCTTTTAGGGGTTCTCTGCACCGGGCCCTCCTCCAAGTTCATTACACGTACTTATAACTTAAAAAGACCAGGTTAGTAAAATAGACAAGTGCAAAATATCTTTATGCAGAAACACTTTGACAAGCAAACATTTCACGCACTGATGGAAAGAAGCAAGCTTCTGCAGCATACAGGATCAGAAACTGAAATGGAAGGGAGTTGTCACTGTGACCATGGATTCTCAGACTCCATCCCTCTCTCTGTTTTGTCGTCTGAGCCACATTTATCGGAGGCTTTACCAGATGAGGAAATAAAGATGAAGGTGATGCTGGAAACCTGTATCATCTGTGGATCCAAAGAAGGGGGAATGTGAATTGTGCCAACCATCTGTTGTCTAAAGAGCATTATCTGAGACCCAGTATATACCATCAGAAATCTTTGGGGCATCAAACTATAGGAGCAAGATTCAAACGAAGGGAAGTGAGAATTTCTGGAAAGACTATTGAGAACAGTAGGGTGGGCTGGCTTGAACTGTGATGCCTGACCAGTGAAGGGACACAGAAGACATCACACTTTCAATAGTTCAGGGCATGTCCTTTTATTCCATGTGACAGAGGCTGGCCCACTGGCTAGCAGACTGTTGAAATACACCCTTTGAAAAATGTCTGTAAGGTAGAACATTTGAATAAAAAGTCTCTTGCTGTCATCTGCTTCTATTACTATGATTTTTGTGTTGTTGTTGTTGATTATTATAGAACACATGAAGGTAAAACAAATGACTATTTTGGCCATTACTTCTCTTCTCCTTAGAATGCTGTTCAAATAAAAAATAACCTTACATGTCTGTCTATATTGTTGTGTTTGAGGATCAAGGAGAAGGGAAGGTTGGGTGCACCGATTAAATTGTTAAGGCAAAAATTAGATGCCTGAGACCTTGTGAATCTGTTGAATAGCAGATTTCACTTATACAATGCTAAATTTAATGTGGAATAGAAAAATCCTTCATTCTCCACCTCCTGCTTTTGAAATACAAAGGTTTGCAACCCCTGGGCTAGTTCCTGATTCTTAAGTAGAAGCCTAACTTGACAGTTTTTCTGTAGGATTGTACTTAAGCACAGGTAAGCTTTAGAAAATAGTAGAATCTTTGCTGCCCTAAGGAAAAGGCATTTTTTAAAAAAAGTGGCATAATGGCTAGATGAGGCAGAATAAGAGAGAAAAATGTCAGTCAAAGTAGAAAAAGAAAAATTGTATTCTCTCACCTCAGGGATGGATTTTAGTGATAGGCATATAGACCAGTGGTTCTCAGCACAAAGACATTGGTCATATCTGGAGATATTTTTTGTTGTTATGACTTTGTGGGTGGGGTGATACTGGGCTAGGCCATGGGTGCTGCTAACATTCTAAATGAACTGGACAGTCCTTCCCAATTGTCCACCCCCGGTTATCAATTAGGCTGATGTTAAGAAACCATGGCTTTCAACAGGCCATACTTGCAATTTAAAGTAACCCTTTAAGGATGCTTCTGAATATTCCAGTTGGAAGTCCATCCTGAAAATTAAGAGTAGTTAATACTAAGAGAATTTCATCACAAAAGAGTCCCATGTTCAAAAATACTTAAAATTAAACAGGTTTCCTTCCAGCAAAACGTTTTTTTGGTTTTTAAAAATGCCCTACCATAGGGAAGTTCTAAAAGGCAGGTTATATGCATGTATTTGTGAACTGAACAAACACTTTTTGATAAAAACAAATTAAAACTGCTCTGCTGTAATTTTGTTCACTGAACACGTTTGGTAATTGCTTTTTTAAATAGACAATATTTAAGCTTTAAAATTAAAAATTACTTTGGTTAAAATGACAGGTAGTATATTCTTTATTTGGTAAGGGATTGAACAGAATGGAAGAAGAAAGGTAGGTAAATATTTATTAGAAGCCCCATGAAATATTCCAAAATGAAACCTTAGTGTTTGTAGATATTTACACAGAAAGGTAAGAATCCCATATAATTTTCACGTATTTAGTTTCCATTTTAAATCAACAGCATGACATGTACTGAGAAACAAATCTTTCCATCCTGTAGCACAATACACAGCCTAGATGAGCAACAATGGCTCATGGGCATAAATGTAAGAAGATCTGGGAACTGTTCTAATGTTGCTTGCATGCCGAAACTCAGCACTTAAGAGGTAAAAAGCTTTGTCATTATCACAGGGAGACTAGGAGAAGAGAACTGGTCAGGGTTTATTCCCCTTTTCCCTGTCCCAGACTTTCACCCTTATGTACTGTTTGTAGGTTTGTTTCAGATTCATTCTGAAGGGATCTTCATTAAGTCTGCTTACTTCCTTTCTTATTCTAATAACCATACCCTGCACTTTGGGCCATTAATATCCCTCAGGGACTCCTGCAAAGCAGAGGCTTCACACTCCTGCTGAGTCTCTGTGGCACAAAGCAGCCTTTCCCTTTCTCCTTGTGTACAAACACAAACAGCTCTTTCTTGCTTCAAGGTGGAGCAGAGGTTTGTGTCTCCCTCTGAAAAAAGCAGTAGGGAGAAACCTTATTTCTCACAAAGGCAATGTTGGTTTCCCCTCTTGTATCTTTACTGGGTTGCTTTGTTCAATTTTATGTTCAATTGCATAATCTTGCTTTTAGAAAAGCTTCCTCTCTTTCCCAAAGGAATAGTGAAACAGCTGAGGAAAACAGAACTTCAGTGTGAACAACACTGGTATTGACCTAGGGAACCTGTCATTGGATTTTCAAGAAATGAGATATGAACTAATGATAATCATATTTGAAAATTCAGTGAGCATTTGTGAATCCAACAGTAGCAGTTTCTATTCAAGGCACTGGAATATCTTTACATTTGCAATGCCAACCTACCCTGGTGCACTGTGACCACTCTGCAAAACCAAGTTCATTTGTTTAATATATGAAGTTAATATATTTTATATGTGTCTCCAAAGTCTATTTGTAAAAGGAAACACAAAAATGAATGTTCATTTTCATTGAATTTGGAGTAGTTTTGGACATATATCCTGATTCTTGAAAAGACCTCAAAACACAATTGATAAAATACAGAAGGCAGAAGAAACCTTTAAGGGAAGGAGTTACATGGATTTCTGTGTAGACTAGAGAAGGAGGGAGTGAGAGATTTGAAATGGAAGAGTTCAGATCTTGTCTATCTTCTCCTTTATTTAGGAAAGGGTTCCTACTTTTGTTTGATATCTGTGTAAGGGGACATATTTCCTTCTGCAGGTGCTTGTTGAATGGATGTGTGCCTTTTTACACTTCTAATAGCCATAGAGTAGGAGTTAGTGGTTATGCCTGGCATTGGTGGTTGGAGTGAAGCAGAATTCTAAATTGATTCTGTCCTACTGAGGTTCGCAGAAAAAGCTTTGAAGA